TGATTATCACTGGCTGTGTAATACTGAATTATCACTGGGCTGTGTAAATACTGATTATCACTGGGCTGTGTAAATACTGATTATCACTGGGCTGTGTAAATACTGATTATCACTGGGCTGTGTAAATACTGATTATCACTGGGCTGTGTAAATACTGATTATCACTGGGCTGTGTAAATACTAATTATCACTGGGCTGTGTAAATACTGATTATCACTGGGCTGTGTAAATACTGATTATCACTGGGCTGTGTAAATACTGATTATCACTGGGCTGTTGTAAATACTGATTATCACTGGGCTGTGTAAATACTGATTATCACTGGCTGTGTAAATACTGATTATCACTGGGCTGTGTAAATACTGATTATCACTGGGCTGTGTAAATACTGATTATCACTGGGCTGTGTAAATACTAATTATCACTGGGCTGTGTAAATACTGATTATCACTGGGCGTGTGTAAATACGATTATCACTGGGCTGTGTAAATACTGATTATCACTGGGCTATGTAAATACTGATTATCACTGGGCTGTGTAAATACTGATTGTCTCTGGGCTGTGTAAATATTAACTGTCACTGGGCTGTGTAAATGTCACTGGGCTATGTAAACGCTATTTGTCACTGCGATGTGCAGACACTAATTGTCTCTGGGCTGTGTAAATACTGATTATCACTGGGCTGTGTAAATACTAATTGTCACTGGGCTGTGTAAATACTAATTGTCACTGGGCTGTGTAAATACTGATTATCACTGGGCTGTGTAAATACTGATTATCACTGGGCTGTGTAAATACTAATTGTCACTGTGCTGTGTAAATACTAATTGTCACTGGGCTGTGTAAATACTAATTGTCACTGGGCTGTGTAATTACTAATTGTCACTGGGCTGTGTAAATACTAATTGTCACTGGGCTGTGTAAATACTAATTTTCACTGGGCTGTGTAAATACTGATTGTCACTGGGCTGTGTAAATACTGATTATCACTGGGCTGTGTAAATACTGATTATCACTGGGCTGTGTAAATACTAATTGTCACTGGGCTGTGTAAATACTGATTGTCACTGGGCTGTGTAAATACTGATTATCACTGGGCTGTGTAAATACTGATTATCACTGGGCTGTGTAAATACTGATTGTCACTGGGCTGTGTAAATACTAATTTTCACTGGGCTGTGTAAATACTAATTTTCACTGGGCTGTGTAAATACTGATTGTCACTGGGCTGTGTAAATACTAATTAATCAGTTTCATTTAAAAAAAAATGGTTCATTTTTTCTGAGTCTTTACCGGAAGTTGCCTCCTCCGTATACCTTCAGATTTACAAACTTGACGTATTGGAAGTCAAGCATTCTAGTGCATGTGTTTTTCTAAAATCTTTTTTCTTAATACTATCAACCAAGCTAAGCATAACATCAAAGAAAAAAGAGATATACCTTCACCAGTTCATCTGTGAATTTTATTGTAAGTTAAAAAATTCTTTCATATAACTATTATTTCATCAGAAAGCTGCGTTTCTGGCCACACTGAGAAGATTTCGTCTACATATCTCTATCAGATTTAATCGGGAAATAATACCTGTGGAAGCAATTTAGCCTCGAAATATTCCACAAATAAAATGCAACGAGTGAATTAATAGCGTGTTAAGTGGGAGAGAATGGAGACGAATGGTTTTTAGGACTTGACGAGCTGTTGGAGTGTAAACAGGGAATGTGAAGAGATTCAGGGAAACCGGTTAGCCGGGCTTGAGTCCTGGAGGTGAGAAATACAATGCCTTCACTTTAAAGGAGGGATTTGTATATATATATATATATATATATATATATATATATATATATATAATATATATATATATATATATTAAATAAATAAAAAATATATAAATATATATATATATAATATATATTTTTATTTATTTATATATATATATATATATATATATATATATATATATATATATATATATATATATATATATATATATATATATATATATGTCGTGCCGAATAGGCAGAACTTGCGATCTTGGCTTAAATAGCAACGCTCATCTTGCCATATAGGACAAGTGAAAATTTGTGTATGCAATAATTTCGCCAGAATCATTCTGAACCTAACGAAAAAAATATATTTCACTTTGTTTGTTTAGTATAAAATTATTGTAAACAAATCTAAAATATATTAAGTTCGGTTAGGCTAAAATAAATTGTTCTTGTTATAATAAGGTTAGGTAAGTTTTCTAAGTTCCTTTTGGTGCAAAATTATAAATTTTTACATCAACATTAATGAAAAAATATATCTTTAAACGTATAAGAGAAAATTTTAGAAAGGACTTAATTTTAAATGAGCTCTTGCTAATTCACCAGTTTTACATATTCGGCACGACATATATATATATATATATATATATATATTATATATATATATATATATATATATATATAATATATATATATATATATAAACCAACAGTGAAAAAAAAGAAATAAAACCTGATCGCTTTCATGTGCTTATACACATATCAGAGGAATAGTAAAAGACGCAAAAGAAACCAAACTCCCCAATTCAACTTAATCGGCACTTCACACACACACAGAAACAAGAGGCCACAATTGGAAGTTGAAGACACAAATGAGTCAGAGAGATACTAGGAAGTATTTCTTCAGTCATAGAGTTGTAAGGCAGTGGAATAGCCTAGAAAATGACGTAGTGGAGGCAGGAACCATACACAGTTTTAAGACGAGGTTTGATAAAGCTCATGGAGCGGGGAGAGAGAGGGCCTAGTAGCAACCGGTGAAGAGGCGGGGCCAGGAGCTAGGACTCGACCCCTGCAACCACAAATAGGTGAGTACAAATAGGTGAGTACACACACACACAGAAGAGCTTAGCAGTGAAATGGAGTAGAGGATGGCCACAGACTGCATGTTGTGAGAGCTTCAATCCGCAGTTGCAGAAGCTAAGGCACAGAACTGAAAATGCTGAAACAGATTAAAGAACCGAAGAGCATATCGGGCATGACATCGGCAACAGGAACATAAGTAGCCAACGAGTTGATCAAAAGAAGGGAAGGAGATAAGTCTTACACAGAGGCCCTATCAAACTACCATAGGGCCTGGGAAAAGTCGAGGAGTGTATAGTGGCAGGCCGTTGGGTACAGGGACAGTAGATAGAGAGGGGACTGAAGGAAGGGAAGGAGACAGGTCTCCTGCAGAGGCATTATCACACCATCAAGAGATCCAGGAAATGTTAAGGAGATACGAAGGGAAACAATATGAGGATGAAAGGGAATCGCCAGACTTTGTTTATGGGCTTCAAAAGCCCGAAAGGGCAACTTATGAAGACGACAAGGGGAGGAAAAAGGGACTGAAAATATCATGAAGGAGACAGGAGACGATGACATGACCCAGCAGACAAAATTTTCAGAGAACAGGAGGGTTCTTAAGGAGAAGAACTCGTCCAGTCAACTCGATTTTCAAGTCAGAAATGGTATGAAACAAGATCTTTCAGAAGAAAGCACGACTAAGAGGCTCATCAGATTACCAGCAGGTGTAACTCAACCACGACAGAACATGAGAAGACAGAAATTGAGAGGATACAAAGATGCAAAGAGCAGGAAAGAGTGTCAAGGATGGAGGCGAGCAGGGAAAACCAGACTGAGAAGGAAGAGCAAGCACAACCTCCCTCAGAACCACCTACAGAGGACCCTTATCCCCGACAACCACACCACAACAAAGCAAACTAACCCAAAACAACACACACTCCATACCCACAGCCCCACCCCTTCCCGCCACAAACTCCACCTTAACAGCAGCCCCCCATATTATCCTGCCAGGTCTCCCACTTTCCTAATCCCAACAAATCCCCCAGACACAATATTAGAAAAGAAGCTGAAGGTTTGATACACCAACCATGACGGGGGTAAGAACAGATCTACTGGTAAAGCTCGGAATCCTTCCTATTAGAGGCCTGGGTTAGCCTAACCCTAACATGAGCCTCGCTATTTTCATAAAATTTTTTAACTGCTTTCATTTACGTATCATCTGTTCCACACACTTGCAACATTTGCCACATTGCTTACCGGTCCACCCTATCATATGCTTTTTCCTAATCCATTAATGCAAGGAAAGCTTTCTTACCTTTATAAAAATACTGTTTATATATATGCTTCAATGTAAACATTTGGTCTACAGATCCCCTAACCTTCCTAAAGACCTACTTGTTTATCTGCAATCCTGCTTTTCGACTTACCTGGAGTATACCTGGATAGTGTTCTGGGGGTCAACGCCCCCGCGGCCCGGTCTAGGCTTTCTCAACAGGATTATTCTCCTATAATTCATAGACTCTTTTGTCCCCTTTACCGTCATATTATAATACTATGCACACTCACTGCCAGTCCCTAGTTACTTTTCCCTGTTTCATAAATTTGCTGAGTAAAAGCACCAACCATTCCAATCCTATATCACCATCTGCTTTTAACATTTCTGTTTTGATCCCATTAATCCCAGCTCCTTTACCGATCTTTTATTTTACGCACAACCTGACACAGTGGACAAGACTCTTTCTCACGTTACTGGGAGCAGGGGTACATGAAATCATATCCTAGCAATAGCCGCTGCTGAAGGTGAAATCTAAACCTTTACTACGATTTCCCTGCTAGAGGTTTAGTCTTATCCTCCTGGAAGAGTGCCCTACTGGTGGTGGAGTCTTGTCTTCCTCCAAGAGATTTCCCGCTGAAATACTCTCTTTTCATCCAAAACAAATTTCCTGGTGGAGTAGGTACGATCTAAGCTGTGTTGGTGTGGAATAGAGTGTAATGTTAACAGCAGGGTCTCCCTGAGACTGTGGTGAATACGGTGCAGTAATGCAACATCGCCTCTCCTTGGGGGAGGCGGAACTATTGAAGTATTAAATCAGTGTGTTAATTTCGTCAGGTATAATAAAAAAGCAGGTGTTCTTGGCAGAACTTCGGATACAATCTGAGTGTGCTTTATCTTTCACAGGTGGCTGCAAACAGTGGCTGGGGTTGGCAACATTTCGGGATTCGAACTGTTGGAGCAGTGGGTCACCTGTATGCACGACACACCCTCGACTACGAGACAGAAGAACACAGACGAGGCTTCAGGTTCATGGTTCAGGTGTCTGATAAAGTACGTGTATGAAACCACACATACACACACATACACATACACACACACACACACACACACACACACACACACACACACAACACACACACACACACACACACACACACTACTGGAGTTCTATGACATGGTGACAGCAGTAAGACAAGAGAGAGAGGGGTGGGTGGATTGCATTTTCTTGGACTGCAAGAAGGCGTTTGACACAGTTCCACACAAGAGATTGGTGCAAAAACTGGAGGACCAAGCAGGGATAACAGGGAAGGCACTACAATGGATCAGGGAATACTTGTCAGGAAGACAGCAGCGAGTCATGGTACGTGGCGAGGTGTCAGAGTGGGCACCTGTGACCAGCGGGGTCCCGCAGGGGTCAGTCCTAGGACCAGTGCTGTTTCTGGTATTTGTGAACGACATGACGGAAGGAATAGACTCTGAGGTGTCCCTGTTTGCAGATGACGTGAAGTTGATGAGAAGAATACACTCGATCGAAGACCAGGCAGAACTACAAAGGGATCTGGACAGGCTGCAGACCTGGTCCAGCAATTGGCTCCTGGAGTTCAATCCCACCAAGTGCAAAGTCATGAAGATTGGGGAAGGCAAAGAAGGCCGCAGACGGAGTACAGTCTAGGGGGTCAGAGACTACAAACCTCACTCAAGGAAAAAGATCTTGGGGGTGAGTATAACACCAGGCACATCTCCTGAAGCGCACATCAACCAAATAACTGCTGCAGCATATGGGCGCCTAGCAAACCTCAGAACAGCATTCCGACATCTTAATAAGGAATCGTTCAGGACCCTGTACACCGTATACGTTAGGCCCATATTGGAGTATGCGGCACCAGTTTGGAACCCACACCTAGCCAAGCACGTAAAGAAACTAGAGAAAGTGCAAAGGTTTGCAACAAGACTAGTCCCAGAGCTAAGAGGTATGTCCTACGAGGAGAGGTTAAGGGAAATCAACCTGACGACACTGGAGGACAGGAGAGATAGGGGGGACATGATAACGACATACAAAATACTGAGAGGAATTGACAAGGTGGACAAAGACAGGATGTTCCAGAGATTGGACACAGTAACAAGGGGACACAGTTGGAAGCTGAAGACACAGATGAATCACAGGGATGTTAGGAAGTATTTCTTCAGCCACAGAGTAGTCAGTAAGTGGAACAGTTTGGGAAGCGATGTAGTGGAGGCAGGATCCATACATAGCTTTAAGCAGAGGTATGATAAAGCTCACGGCTCAAAGAGAGTGACCTAGTAGCGATCAGTGAAGAGGCGGGGCCAGGAGCTCGGACTCGACCCCCGCAACCTCAACTAGGTGAGTACAACTAGGTGAGTACACACACACTCGTGGATTTGAGCTCGTGTTTTGGTGGTAATTTCTGACTGTGCCATAAGGAATAGAGTGTGGGATATAGGCGTGTGCACGCATAAGAGTGCATATAATCACTTAGGCCCAGAAAAAAAGGAAATATAAGTGATCACAGAAAAGAAAACAAAGGAAATAGTGACTAAGTGTTTAGTGGGGGCCAGGGGAAGGAAGGTGAACGGTTGCATCAGGCCTAAATAGTGTTGCCATAACGCAGTGGGGTATTTTGAAGAATAAGTGCGACTCAAGACCAGGGAGATAAGAGATATGTATAGATGTGTTAGTAAATACAGTGAGTGAAAAAATTAGATGAGCTAGAGACTATAGTGCATACAGGAAGTTAGTGGAAAAATTACCGAGAAGCATCAAGCATCTTCAACTACTGGGACACAGGACAGACCCGCAATGTTACTCCACTGCCAGCCACAAGTAATATTCACCTAGTTTGAGTAGCATGGGGTCAATAGTACCTGTCTCTAGCTGGAATTGGGGGTCACTCTCCTCGAGCTATCAGAATTAGAATAAGCAGCATTTACTGGCATTTAATAGAATTTAGAGGTAGCAGCATACAGACGAAGTCTAGTGTATTTATTTTTGAACGTAATTTTAAACATCAGTACAGTGGGAACCAAGAGATCGGGAATATATGCAATACATATGTAGTACATACGTGGGAAATAAGGACTGCTTACATAAACATGTGCACACACACACACACACTAGGTGAGAACAGGATCTGCTGTTAGGCATTTGAATAGCTGTAGCATGCACGCACACACACACCCACACACACCCACACACACCCACACACACCCACACACACCAACACACACCCACACACACCCACACACACCCACAAACCCCCACACACATCCACACACACCCACACACCCACACACACACACCCACACACATCCACACACACTCACACACACCCACACACCCACACACCCACACACACCCACACACACCCACACACACCCACACACACCCACCCACACACACCCACCCACACAACACCCACCACACACACCCACCCACACACACCCATGCACACACACCCATGCACACACACCCACCCACCCACCCACACACACACACACACACACACACACACACACACACATCATGCACACATCACACATACACACACACACACACATACACACACACACGCAACACACACAACACACACAACACACACACACAACGCAACACACACACAACACATGCACACACACACCACACACACACACACACACTGCCAGACTCACACATACACTCCCCCCCCCCCACCGACATCTCACTCCTTTACCTGATCCCTCCCCTCCCTCTTTCACCCTCCCCCTCCCCACCTCTCCCTCCTTCCCCCTCTCCCTCTCCCACTCACCCACTTGCTTCACTCTCCTTCCCACTCCCCCTCCCCACTACTCTCCCACATAAACACAGTTCCTCCTCTACCTCCCCCCCCCACAACTCTGACATACACAATACTAACCTAATATACAGAATTACATAGATTTCCCACTCTGAGGCAATCAGGATAAAACAAAAATGGGCTGCCAGAGAGCAACAAGAAAAACCAAGGGACAGGAGGAGGAAACTGCAAAGGAAGATTGGGCAGCAGAGCTCACAAAAAGGGAACATGAATGGGAAAAGAAACTAGGAGAACTTAGCATGAGAATGGAAGAGAGGATAGACATGAAAAGCAGGAAGTGGGAGGTGCAAGTCAAAGCAGCAGAGGCCAGGATGCAGAGTTTAGAAGAGGAACTGAAAAATCTGAAACAGCCTAAAGAACTAAAGAACATTTTTGGATTGACAACAGAGACTGCTACCTCAGTCACAAATAAGGGGACTGTAGGGAAAGAAGGAGCAAAACTGCATGTAGAAGCTCAATCAGTGGAGACTGTAGTAAATGAAAGAGCTAAGCTATATGTGGAGGCCCTAACAGACCACAGCAGAGCCCAGGGAAAGCCGAGAAGGGAAAATGACAGGCCACTGAGCCCAAGTACATTATCTAGTGAAACTGAACAAAGGAAAGCTGCAATGGAGGAAAGCAAATTGAATGAGGGGATACACAGGGATATGCAGTGGGAGAATGAAAGGGTGAGTCAGTCTTTGTGTATGGGCTCCAGGAAGTTGAAGGGGAAACATATGAAGCAAGAAAACAAGGGGAAAAAAAGCAATTGAAAGCATAATGAAAGCAATAGGAGAAGACGACATGACCCAGCTGGAAAATTTTCGGAGAATAGGGGGGTTAAAAAAAGAACCCGGCCAGTGAAAGTGACCTTCAAGGCAGAATCGACTCAGAACAGGATCCTACAGGAGAAAGCACGATTAAGGGACATGCCGGCATACAGGAAGGTGTATCTCGACCGCGACAGAACACAAGCAGAAAGGAAGAAACAGAGAGAGATGGTACAAAGGCGAAAGGTGGAAAGAGAGGGGATGGAGAAGACAGACAGGAGATCCCAGACACAGCAAGATCAAATACAGCCTCCCTCACAACTTCCTATAGAAGCCTCCCAACCAGGTCAACCCCAGTGCAACCAAACACTCTAAACCAAAACACCCATGCCACATCCAATGCCCCCACCCACTGCATTACAAACTCCACCCCCACAGCAACCACCCATAGTTCCTTACCAGGTCTCCCACTTCCCCAACCCCAATATACCTCCCAGACCACAATCTTAGAAAAGAAGTTGAAGGTGTGGTATACAAATGCAGATGGAATAACAAATAAGTATGAGGAGTGGCACAGAAGAATCAAGGAGACATCCCCAGACATAATAGCACTCACAGAAACAAAACTCACCAGAATAATAACAGATTCAATCTTTCCATCCGGATATCAAATCCTCAGGAAAGACAGAGGGAGGAGAGGGGAGGAGGAGTTGCACTGCTCATTAAAAACCAGTGGGGTTTGAGAAAATGGAAGGAATGGATGGCACGGCGAAAGGGACTACTTAGTAGGAACAATCCAGTCTGAGGGACATAAGGTGATAATTGCAGTAATGTACAACCCACCACAGAACTGCAGGAGGCCAAGAGAAGAATACGATGAGAGCAACAGAGCAATGGTCGACACACTAGCCGAGGTGGCCAGGAGAGCACACATGGGGGGAGCAAAGTTACTAGTTATGGGTGATTTCAATCACAAGGAGATTGACTGGGAAAACCTGGAGCCCCATGGGGGTCCCGAAACATGGAGAGCCAAGATGATGGATGTGGTACTGGAAAACCTCATGCATCAACATGTTAGAGACACTACCAGAGAGAGAGGAGAGAATGAACCAGCAAGACTGGACCTTGTATTCACCTTGAGTAGTTCTGACATCGAGGATATCATGTATGAAAGGCCCCTGGGAGCTAGTGATCATGTGGTTCTGTGTTTCGACTACATAGTTGAGCTCCAAGTGGAGAGAGCAGCAGGGATAGGGTGGGAAAAACCAAACTAAAAAAGGGGGAACTACTCAGGCTTTAGGAACTTCTTTCAAGACATTCAGTGGGAGAGGGAACTGACAGGAAAACCAGTACAAGAATTGATGGACTATGTGGCAACAAAATGCAAGGAGGCAGAGGAGAGGTTTGTTCCCAAGGGAAACAGAAATAATGGGAAGAACAAAACGAGTCC